AGGAATGGGCACTGGACACAAGCGCAAATTCAATGATGACACTCAAATGGGAAAGTAAAGTTCATAAGGCATACGTTACAGATGTCACTGGCGATGGAGATATTGTACTCAGCTGCAGTACATTGGATGGGGCTTTCTTATTACTTCCATCGCGTGGTCGTGTGGCTCCATTGGTTTCCTACGGAGCACGAATTGTTGTTCTTGACTCAAACTCCAAAATTGCTATCGTTGGGGTCGATAATGGATCGATTCGAATTTTTTCATATGTTGATTTTCTTGAAGGAGAGGGAAAACCGGTAGTTCTCTCCTCCTTTTGCCCTCATACAAGCGGTGTTACGGGATTGCTTCTTCAGCTGCGTGAGGATTCTACATGGGATAGCATTATGTGTGCTGGGGCCGATGGGTCGCTTGTATTTATGGACTTTACCGGAGCTCGTGGAGGTCAGTGGATTAAGGGATTGAGTGGGCATTCGCTGGATTTCCTGCCAAGCGGCAATTTTATTCTGGCACCAGTGGAATCGGGTGGAGGCATTTGTCTTTTCAGCTCAACCGACCTTCTTCCATTGCCCCAAGAACCCGAATTAAAGACATCGCATACGGTCACCGCAATACGTTGTGTGGAGCCCATGAGACTTCTTGTGGGCTGCGAAAATGGAAGCTTGATGATATTCCAATGCGTTGTGGAAGGGTCTCAAAACATATCGTTTCAAAAACTGGAGGAGAGAGAAGTTCCGCCATACATTGCAAGATCTTTTACTCCCAGTCAGCCAGATGGTGAATTGGCCGTGATAAATTTACAGAAGGGTATTCTTGCACAGGAAGGTGCATTCTTGGTTATAGATACGAAACGGGCTGAAATGATGTTTCCTATTCGACCATTGACGCATATATATCCTCTTCGTAGCAGTATTGTCACCTTTGCTGGATCCGAAAAATACGATTACACTGTGATTTTGCAGTTACGTGATGGCACTATGGTGCAGTATGTGGGAAATTTGGCTCAAAAAACTATGCCCGTTTTTGTGCGAACGCTCGTTGGTTCCCTATTGGCCGATGTGCTTCAGGGTGAGTCCGCTGGTTTGTTGATGTACCCCAGCAACTACATCTTGGATTTGGCACCCACGGCGAGTGGGAAGGTGAACCTGACGCTTATTTACGCTGAAGGTGCTGCACTGAAGCAGCTGTTTTTCAGCACCGATCCAGATATCTCGGTGGAACCTCGTATGTTCTGTGACAAGGATGTGCTTAACGCCTCAATAAGCTCGCACCCCATAGGAGATGAAGTACTGACGCTTGAACCCATTGGACACGCTGATCTGGGAGTGGCTGTGCTACGGGACTCTCCTATTGTGGACATTTTCAGTAATGATGGAAATTATCTCTATCGCATTCTCTACACTGGATCTGTGTCGGAATATCAAGCAGCGCTTCGCCAGCGTCGTTCACGGAGTTTTCCTTGTGACGCCTCCTCCTTAAACAACAGTATATCTTTTGCACCGTCTTCCTCTTCTGCTGCCTGTACCGCCTCTTTTTGTGCTGAGGGGTATTACCTTGCTATTGGCTACCGGGATGGACTAATTCAGTTGTTTGATACCACACGGCGGGTTGTGTTCGCACGCCTGGCGGTACATAACTCAATGATAAGCAGCTTGTGGTCATTTCCGGGTGTTGTGGTCTCATCATCAACGAATGGCGCTTTACATGCTTCTGTGGTATTTCCCCGTGTGATGTTCGATGACTACGGAAGCAGCTCCATATCCTCGGCGGAAGGCTCCATAATGAGACGAACATCAGTCAGCATTTCCGTTGTACCACCTAACTGATTTTGAGGAGGATGCACGCGGTTCCGGTGGGAAACTGATGGAAGAAATCAAGATGTGGTTGTGGGTGGTTACTAGTCATTATGATTTCATCAGGAAAAATAAAAATGAAGCAGGAAAAGAAAAAATGTAATAAAAACTAGGCATTGGCAAGGATGTAAAAATGTTTGTTTGCTTTTATTTTGCTCGAGCATTTTTATTTTTCATGTTATTTATTTATTTATTTTTTTTACTGTGTGTTTGATTGTCTCTGGTGGGAGGGGGATGAGGGCCATGTAAAAAAACAATGCCTGTTGCTGTTCTTATTGGGCGTTTTTGCATTCTTCTGTCTCCCTCGCCCTCACGCAAAATCTGAGTTTGGGCGCAATGATGTTTTTTTTGCTTTTGTTTTTTTCTTCAAACTGTGGATTACACGGGGGGAAAGAGAGTCTGGAGTCGAAGCTACACGACAGGAGTGGCTGTTGATAGAGAACAAAGTGTGGACTTAGGGAGCGGTTGAAGGCACTGAGGGAAAGGACGTGAGTCAGCTGCAAATACATACAAAAAAGAAAAAAAAAAGAGGAGAGAATGGCGTATACGAAATCCGGGGTAATGAAGAAGGAGTTCGCACTCCCTATGGTGCCTGGCATGACATGCGGGGAGGAGATGTTGCGACGGAATTACCACCGCATGCAAGCTCACCGTCCGAAGCCTTATTCAGTGAACTCCATTAAAAGTGTGCCCATTGACTTGACCAGAAGCAATATGGAGAAAACGTCCTCTCTCACAAAGACTGTGGATGACACTCTTGCCGACGACAAGGACTCTCGGCGGTTAGACGCCAGCTATCAGCAGACTGTCAATGATGACCTCAGTGGGCGGGTATTACGCTTTTATGGTTACACAAAAGAACAAGTACCGGAGAGCTCCATTGAACGGGAACGCTTGCGCAAAGTTGTGTTCAATGTATTCTTGGAAGATAACACAATGAGTGTGGCCGAGCAGAGCCCGGACAACTCTGGATTTGCATTTCCCCTAGCTCTCAAGCGACATATTGTCCCCATGCACGATGGCACTCCCATTACATTTGCAGATTTCCGCGTGGGTGAACCAATCACATTCTATGGTCGTACATACATGTTGTACGATGCAGATAAGTTTACCCGCGATTTCTTCAAAGAGGGAGGTGTGGAACTTGAACCAGCACAGGAATTGCCAACGGATGCCTTCACGCTACTGCGTAGCCGCCCCATAGCGAAGGCTCACGACGTGCGCTCCATTGCAGCAGACAGCCCCTTAAACATTGCTTTGTTGCCAGAACAGGTACGTGCAGCGCAGCAGTTTCTGGAACATGACGGTGAAGTTTTGCGCTGCGACTGTGTATGGGATGACACAGAGGCCCTTCATGGCGTAAAGCATTTTTTCACTCTTTACTACTTTCTTGCAGATGGTAGCATCGCCGTGGTGGAGAAGGACTTTCCTAACAGCGGCCGTGATCCGTTTCCGCGGTACTTCCGTCGACAACGTGTGGCAAAACCCAAGGGAGACGGAAAGTTTGATCCGCAGACACTGGGTTCCCTCACCTTCAAGGAGGACGCCAATACGGTTTACTACACCGACGATGATATTCGCATTGGAAATGTGTTGAACCTCTACGGCCGCCTTGTGCTTATTTGTGACTACGACGAGTTTACACGGAGCCATCTTCGCAACAAGTTTGGCATCACTGCATACGAACCGATACCGGGAGGAAAGATGCCGCCCGCGGTTCCGATTGGCTCCCAGAGACGTGAGAAGACTTCTCAGGAGTTGGAAGAAATGCAAGAACGCAAGCTCAGAGAAAGCCGCATGAGAGAATTTGCCGATGGTGTTGTGAAATTTCTTATGCGACTTGACAATGCCAAGTACGAGGATGAAATTCGAAGGTTTGTCCTGGCCGTGTACCCAGCAGATAACACAATCTCTATTTTTGAGCCCGTGCAGCGGAACAGCGGAATTGTGGGTGGGAAATTCCTCCAGCGTCAACGTTGTAAACGGCCTGACGGGGAACTTTACACGGCGCAAGATTTTTTTGTTGGGGCTCGTCTGAATATCAACGGCTTTTCATTTGTTGTCCTTACCTCCGATGAACGATCTCTAAACTACATGGAGGCAAACCGCAAGGAGTTCAGTCGCTCTGACATTAATTGCATCGTACGCAAGCTTCGTGCCATGCTCACAAGCAAGCAGACAGGACTTGTTGATGCATTCCGAGAGGCAGATGAGTCGAATAAATGCGGGCTCAAGATGGAGGTTTTCTTGGACATTATGGGAAGGCTTCAACTGGACATCTCGGAGCAGGAGATCCTCAGCATCCTGCGCTACTTTGACAAGAATAACGAATCATACGTCTCGTATGAAGAGTTTGTGGCGCGTGTGATGCCTGAGGGGGCCACCGTTGCCTCAGATGATCGTCCGTGGGAAGTTATTGACAGGGAGAGTGCCGAAAAGGAGTCGGCCGCTTTTGTGAAGGACCCGAGAATTGATGAGATAAAACGCCAAAAGGAGGAGGAGACCACTCTGGCATCGCGTGGTGCGGCAAAGTTGTTAGAGCTCTACGATCAGCGACGTCAACTTGTTCTGAAGGAATTTCGCGCTGTGGCGGACTACTCCACTGAGAGTGTCGTTGGACCAAATGAATTCAAGCTATGTGTACGAAAGAAGCTTCAGATGCGAGGCATCACTGACGCTGAACTTAATGCACTGTGCGCAAAACTGTTTTATAAAGACGTTCCACGACTCAGCCTTGAAGAATTAACGCGTATTTTTAACGGCACGTCATCTCTGCCTCGAAATCTGCTTGAAATCAAGCAGGGCATTTCTCGATAGAGCGGAGGTGTGGTTAGATCGGGGAAAATGAATGGGGAGCGAATGGAGTGAGACGATGTAAACACGGGTGAGGATGAATGGGTAGAAGAAAGGAGGGTTGAAAGACGAGATCTATGGCCGACAATTGTTTATTTTGTCTTTTTTTTTTTTTTACGCCTTTTCCTGCTGTTTTTTGCGCACAGGTGTGTGTGTGGAGGGGAAATTCTAAAGGACAAGGGCCTTCCACTGGTTTGTTTTTTTTGGTCTCTGTTCTTTTCTGTCGTCCTTTATCTTCTCCATTCTGCCTCCCTTGGGTTCATACCTGTATGTATACAATCCGACGCTGGACGCGTACGGCCAGTGTCAAAAAATTTTTAAAAAGCCACAAGGGGAGAAGAAAGACACGTGCACATGCACACACATGCGCAAAAGAGAAGGCGTGGATGGAAAAAAAAAAAAAAGCTTTTTTTTTCTCCTCTCTCTCTCTCTGTGTGTGTGTGCATGTGTGCATTTGTGGGTCTGTTACTTCTTTTAATGTCAAGCAGGCAAAGATACAAAATGGCCGAGTTACTCAGATGGCATCGAATGACGGTGTGGTTTTGGCCTGCCCTTTTTTGTTTCTTTGTTGTTTTTATTTTCGGTGTCTTTATTGGTGTTGTACATTTGCTTCTTGCCATGTCTTTTTATTTTCCCTCTTTCTCTTTCTCTCTCTCTCTCTATGTATATATCTGTGTGTTTTTTTGTGCGAGTGAACATTATTAGATCGCGACTTGTGGTTTTTGCAATCATGAAGCATTTTTTAATTATGCTGATGCTTGTCGTGGCGTTTACCGATGCGGTGTGGGGTATCGTCTCTGCCGGTGATCGCGTTCGACAGGAAGAAGAGTGCCGTCAAATTGGGTTCAATAAGGCTGAATTAAAGTGTCACTACTGTCAGCCGCTGCTTGAACACACAGGCAGTGAGGGATTGCATGGGGAGTGTCTCGCCTGCTGCGCCGCCGAAGATCAGACACCGCAGCGCACCTACGCCCGTGCTCGCATTGAGCAAAGGGGCATTTCTTATCTCGTCGAGGAGACACGTAGTGAACTTGGCATGTTTTACAAGGCATATAAGGATAAATTTGGGAACCGTCTTCGGTTAGTCGAAAAGTTCTCGTTTTACGGGCCGCGTCTTGTGCTAGAGGACGGTAATGGTGGAGAGGATTTTGAGATTGGCATCACGGGTTGGACGAAGGATACTTTGCACGACTACTTGGTGCAGGCACTGGGCATGCAGCCAAAAAAGGAATAATGAAAGCTTGGGAAAACCCATCAGTTCTTTTCTTTGTCTCTTTGTTTTTTGTTGTTTTTTTTTGCTTGCCTGTTTTTTTTTTTTTTTTTCTTCATTGATGTGGTGGTGCTGGTGGAATGTCAACCACCAACGTGTGCGCTGAAAATGTCTTTTTTTTTTTTTTTTTACAGCAACTTTGAGGCGGAGTCATGTCTTTTAATTTCTTTTTCTTTTTTTCTTTTCTCTCAATTTTTTTTTATTTCTTTTTTGCTGGTGGGAGGGGAGGGGGGGAAAAAAAGACCTCTTGACTTTTTGACTCATTTACTTTAGGGAATAGGAGTACGGCGTAGCAACGCCGTCTTTTGTCACGCTGCAGTGTAATTGAAAATCAACGACATCGTCTTTCGCAAAAAAAAAAAAAAAAAAAGCAAACAAAAGAAAAAAGGTTAAATCTAAAGATACACACACATACACACTTATAAAATACTTCAAATATATTAATACAAAATGATGCGTCGTTCCCTCTTTCAGGGAGTCTACACCCTTTGTTTGCGTGGCACCGCGCGGTCGTACACGGACGCCAGAACAATTCGTAAACCGTGCCAATTCGATCAGATAGTCGACGCCCAGAATGAAAAATACATAGAGGGCATGTTAAAACAGTATGAGAGGGATCCCACGTTAGTGGCGCCAAGTTGGGTTCCGGTGCTGGAGAATCTGGGAAAGGCACCTCTTGAAATGCCTCTTGTGTCCAATTTTCACCGTCCCACCTCGGTAGAGACGCTGACAGAAAGAGAGCGACTTCAAAACATGAGTCTCTCATGGATGATTCTGGCATACGAAAAGAATGGTCATTACATCGCGAATACAAACCCCCTCAAATACGTGGATGGAGTAGAGTCGCAGGTTTTTCATCCATCAACTCTGGATCCAACAAGTTTTGGTTTTACGGAGGAAGACCTTGAGCGGGTGTTTTATGTCAACTTTGGATGCGATTTTGAGGCCATATTTGTGAGCGGAGATACAGGGCGGAAATTAAAAGAAATTGTGGCGCAGTTGCGTCGCATGTACTGTGGTTCCATTGGATTTGAATTTATGTCCTCTGGTTATTTTGACCTTCGTAACTGGTTTCGTCATCAAATTCTGAATACTTTGAATCCACTTGAACGGCAAGATCGTCTCGCCATATTTGATGATGTTGTGCGCAGCTGTGGATTTGAGCATTTTTTAAACATGAAGTACGGAAATCAGCAGCGTTTTGGCCTTGATGGTGGAGAAGCACTGATTCCAGCCATGAGGGCGATAATACAAACGGCAAATGACAATGAAGCAACGTCTTGTATTCTCGGCATGGCGCACCGAGGTCGTCTAAATGTATTATCGAACATTCTACAGAAGTCTGTGGTCAACATCTTCTGTGAGTTTGAAGGCAAAGCACCCAAGGACCAAATGATGCGCATTGGCGATGTGAAGTATCATTTGGGACACCGCAAGCATGTTCAATTGCGCAATGGTAATTTTATGGATCTTGAGCTTTTGCCCAACCCTTCACATTTGGAGGCGGTGAATTCGCTTGTACTTGGAAAGGCACGAGCAAGACAGTTGTATAAAAATGACACCGATTGCGCAGAAGTTCTTCCGATTCTTATCCATGGTGATTCTGCCATCATGGGACAAGGATCATGTTACGAAGTCATGGGATTTTGTGGTTTGGAGAATTACCGCGTTGGTGGCACAATACATATTATTCTGAATAACCAAATTGGTTTCACAACAGAACCCTCCCAAAGTCGAAGCAGTATTTACTGCAGTGATTTATCCAAGGTGAATAATGCTCCTGTTTTACATGTCAATGGGGATGACGTAGAGGCATGCGTTCGTGCAGGTCGCATTGCAGCTCTGTTCCGCCAAGAATTTCACAGGGATATTATCATTGATCTTATCTGCTACCGTCGCAATGGTCACAATGAGGCCGATCTCCCCGATTTCACGCAGCCACACTTGTACCACGCCATCCGTTCCCACCCAACGCTGGTGGATATCTACTCCAATGTACTTGTTCAAGATGGACTTATTACGGAAGAGGCCGTAAAGGCCAAAAAGAAGGAATACGAAGGACAAATGCGTCAAGCTCTTGATGCCGCGCAAAGTTCACAGGACTTTGTTAAAGTCACTCTGACCTTTCAACCGGCCTCGGAGAATCAGGCGGAGATGTTATTGCCCACGGAAGAGGACGAGGATATTCCAAAGGCCGTTGAAACAGGTGTGGAAACGAGTACCCTTCGAAAGGTCGGTATGCATATCACTACAATTCCAATCGGTGTCAAGAGGGCACATCCAGTTTTGCAACGCACCTATACAGCTCGTCGAAAAGCAATTGAATCTGGTGAAGGAATAGAGTGGTGTTTGGCGGAATTGTTGGCGTTTGGAACCTTATCCCTGGAGGGTGTAGCTATACGTCTATCAGGAGAAGATGTGGAACGTGGTACCTTTACACAGCGTCATGCGGTGATAACGGACCAAGAGACTAACGCCAAGTATATGCCTGTGGCCACGCTGTCGAACAAGCAACCGCTAGTCACGATTTGTAACAGCAGCCTTTCAGAGTTTGGAGTCTGTGGATTTGATCTTGGATATAACATTGAAGATCCATCAAATTTATGCATGTGGGAAGCCCAGTTTGGCGATTTTGCCAATGGTGCGCAGGTTGTTATTGATCAGTTCCTTTCCAGTGGTGAAGAAAAATGGCAGTTGAAATCCAGTCTCATTTTGTCACTTCCACATGGTTACTCTGGGGCTGGGCCTGAGCACAGTTCGGCCCGAATTGAGCGTTACCTGCAATTATGCAGTGATACCGACGTGGTCCCTGGTAACTTCCGTCAGGAGTCTGCTGCACGCATGCTGGAGGCACGCATTCAAAAGTACAATTGGCAGGTCTGCTACCCCAGCACTCCTGCCAACTACTTCCATATGCTCCGCCGCCAGGTAGTGCGGCAAGATGCAAAGCCCCTTGTATTTTTCTTCTCCAAGGCTCGGCTTCGTCCTCCAAATGTGTCTTCTCTTGCGGAAATGGCAAAGGGCACATCGTTTTTGCCTGTTATTGACACCGCGGAGAATGAAGACGTCGTCGCACGGAAGGTTCTCTTTTGCTCCGGTCAGATTGAAAGCATTGTGAATGATCATCGCCAGAAGCTCCGGGCATCGAATCACGGCGCGCATGATGATGTGGTGCTGGTGAAGCTGGAACAATTATCACCCTTCCCTTGGGAACAAGTCGCCGACGTCTTGGAGAAGTACCACAGTCGGAATTCAGAAGTTGAATTTACATGGCTGCAAGAAGAACCCAAAAATATGGGTCCATGGGCATACGTGCGTCCACGCTTCCAAAAACTCATGCGTCATCTTGGCATCGAAAAGCCTGGCACTTTTTTAAAGTACATTGGACGACCGACTGCGGCATCTCCGTCCACAGGTTATGGTTCTGTTCATGTGGAGGAAGAAAATGAACTTGTCGCTCAAGCACTGAGTTAACCTCATAAAAGCAATGGAAAGAAGAAATTAAAATATTATTGTCATATGCGCATATATATTTGTGTGTGCGTGCGTGTGTGTGTGCGTGCGTGTGTGTGTGCGTGTGTGTGTGTCTAATTGCGTGAAAACGTTAGTAAAGGGAGAACCAATATTTTTATTGTGAAAGTAAGGAGAAAAAAGAAAAAAATCTTGTTTTTGGTTTTATTGTAAAGAACACAATATTTGTCGTTGCAGCATGAATGATGGGTTGAAAAAAGCCCAGAAAGAGAAAAGGTAGAAAGAAGAAGGTTTCCGTTTGTTTTGTTTTGTTTTTTTTTCTTTTAATCTATTTGTTTATTTATGATGCTACCTTCTATTCAGTTCCTTTTCCCTTCTCATTTCGTGTTATGGAACTTAAGGGAGCCGGGTTTTTTTTCTCTATCCCTCTATATGCATCTATACAATATTTGTGTGTGTGTGTGTGTGTGTGTGTGTGTAGTTGTATTTGTATTTGTGTATGTGTATATACATGTACATAAAAGTATACACGCTGTGCTTTCGAACGCTTTTATTCTTTACGGCCGTTGTTTTTTAAATTGTTCCTTCAGGCAATTAGCAGACGATTCCTTTACCTCTCTCCACACAAATATGTACGGCTTTCCACATCGCCATTTGACCCTCACACTTTGGTTATTTTTATTGGTGTGCACTCCCTTTTGTGTCTGTTATGTTTGTTGGTGAGAGAGACGTGTTCACGTTCTTTCTCTCCCTGGATTTCTATTTATGTGCGTGGGGTGCGGAAGGACGTTTTTCTTTTTCTTTTTTACTTTGCGAGTTAGACACCTTTTTTTTTTTTTCTTTTTTCTTTTTGGCTATTTTGTTGCCTCTCAATGTTTTTGTGTGTTCGTGTTTGCGTGTGTGAATTCATTTGGTCCGATGGTCTCGGACTTTGTTTACTTCAGTGGAGTGACTTGACAAAGATATATATTTTTTGGTTCCTTTTGTTGTTGTTGTTCCTCTAAAAAACATCGCTTGAGGCCATTGCACCAGGGAGAAGAAGGGCGATAGTGTGTGGTGGCCTCACGTAATCCGTTATATATATATATATATCCCCTTTTAGAAAAATAATTAAGTGAAGAGAAACGAAAAAAAAAAAAGAAAATGAAACAGGAACAAGAAGAGCGTAAGTGGAGTAGTCAGAGCGGAGAAATGAGTTTGAAGCGGGCACTGTGGGTAAACGACCGCTATGCCGTGCGCTGTCGTGGCTGTGATGCCCGCTTTAACTTCGTTCGGCGCCGCCACCATTGCCGCAACTGTGGCCAGGTGTTTTGTAGTGAGTGCCTCATTTCATCGTCGACCACGTTTATCGGGGAAATCTTTACAGATGTCGTCTCGTCCATTGTCGGGCTTCAGCGAGACCCCCTTCTAAAGGTCTGCCATGTGTGCGACCGCATTCTTCAGGAGCGTGGCATAGGGAGACAAAGAAGTTGGCGGAGGGTTCCTCCGCCACGAAAAGGGATTTCAGATAAGCCGACAGCAAATAAAACGGTCGTGAAGCATGGGCGGGAGGCGGCGGTGGGCCCCGGCACCGCCACTACGGTGGAAGTGGTCTCACTGGGTACCACACAAAGGGTTGAATTGCCCCCTTCAGTGGGAGAAGGAGTGGGAGTAATTTCCTCTTTCTCCTTCGATGAGGGTTGTGCCACTCCCTTGAGAAGCGGAGTCCCGAGTCTTTCTGTGTATCGGCCTTCCCAGTCACGTCTGCCGACGCATCCTGAAGATCCTAAAGAGCAAGAGATATCCTACGGGTTGACAGATACACCAGTTTACAGCCGAAACAGCATGACGGATCGGATGAATAAATTTCTTAAGGAAGCACGCAAATTTCGGATAAATGAGTCTCCAGAAAAGTCGCAGAGTGACCTTTCCACCCGCACATACACGCCTCACCCCAAGGCGACCTTCCGAATTGCCGATGCTCGGTCATGGCAAGCACAGTTCGCAAATGTATTTTCCAAGTCCATCTTAAAAAGGAACCTTCGGCGTCTTGAATCACAAAGTTCGTATCATTTAATTAAGCGTGTCTCAAGGCTTTTTATGAAGGAGGAGGTGTTATCGTCTTTAGGGGTGGAGACTGCAGGGATGGATCGCACAATGTGGATCGCCGGGTTGTGTGATATATCGTGGCGGATAGTGTCGCAATTGCCTATAGTCCTACATGAGCGTATTGAGCAACATTTAGATGTTATTTGTATAGCCGATGGGCAGTTTGTTGAAACGGAAATTATCACTGGAGTGGCATTCATACAAAATGTTGCTTTTAAACGAATGAAAACATATGTGAAGACACCACGTATACTTCTCTTATCCGGTGAAGTGGGTAAAAACCCCAAACCAGGGACGGACCTCTTGGAGTATGTAGAGGGATATGAAGGCCATTTGGATACGCAATATCATCGTATCCAAATCTGGCGACCCTCCGTTATTGTTGTACAGGGTAATATGCACCATTATTTACAGGATAAAATTCTTCGTCAATCAGACGCCACACTTATCCTTAATGTTGGGGAAACTATCATTCGTCGGCTTTCACGTTGTTGTAAGGCAAATATAGTTTCTGACCTGCAGTATGTAGGTGCCGCAGAATTGTATGACACTTCGATGCTTGGAACTTGTGAAAGCTTTGAATTAGTGCATCATGGTGATAAGCCTGTATGCATATTCAAGACTCCTCAAGTGCCTTTATTTACTGCCGTACTCCTTCGTGGAGCTGAAGAACGACAGTTGACAACTGTCAAGCGGGTCTTACTTAGCTGCGCGGCGACTGCACATCATCTTGCTCTCGAAGCACACTGTGTGTTTGATTTGGGTATGACGTGTGCCGAATCTTCTCCAATTCCTGTGAATGAGACGAAATCCAAAAGTACCGGCAGTGATGCTGATGACGACGATAATGTGGAGGAAGAAGAGGATTATGATCCACCAGCGTGGGGGGAATCATCGTCGCTAAGCTCTCGTCATTGGAAGAGTACATGC